TCAATCATTTTGAGTTTATTTTTGTGTATGGTGTAAGTTGGTGATCTAGTTTCATTTTTTTTTATGTATCTGTCCAATTTTTCCAATATCATTTATTGAAGAGACTGTCTTGATTCCATGGCATGCCCTTTCCTCCTTTGTCAAATATTAATTGAACATAATGGCTTGGGTTGATTTCTGGGTTCTCTGTTCTGTTCCAGTGGTTTATATGTCTTCTTGTGCCAACACCAGGCCGTTTTGAGAACCGTGGCTTTGTAATATAGTTTGATATCTGGTATTGTGATCCCTTTAACTTTGTTCTCTTTCTCAGGGCTATAGGTGTATCCCAAATTGAATAAAAGGATGGCAATTGGGGTCTTTTTATATTCCAGATTAATTTTTGGAGAGTTTGTTCTCTATCTTTGAAATATGCCATTGGTGTTTTAATGGAGATGGCATTGAATCTGTAGATTGCTTTGGGTATTATGAAAACTTTAATGATGTTGATTCTAGCAATCCATGAACATGGTATGTTTTTCCATTTGTTTATGTCTTTCTCTATCTCTTATTTTAATGTCCTGTAGTTTTCCAATAAAGGTCTTTTACCTCCTTAGTTAAGTTTATTCCTAGGTATTTTAATATTTTGATACAATAGAAAATGGATTGGGTTTTTTTTCATTTCTTCTTCTGTGAGTTTATTATTGGTGTATGAAAAGGCCATAGGTTTCTGGGTGTTAATTTTGTATACTGTTACATTGCTGAATTCATTTATTAGGTTATTGGAGTCTTTGGGTTTTTTTATGTACGGTATCACTCATCTTCAAATAAGGACAATTTTACTTCTTTTCCAATTTGAATGCCCTTTATTTTTTCTTATCTGATTGTCATGGTTAGCACTTCAGTAATATATTGAACAGGAGTGGAGAAAGTGGGCATCCCCGTCTTGTTCCTGTTCTCAGAGAAAATGGATTTAGTTTTTGTCCATTGAGTCTGATATTGGCTGGTTTGTCATATAAGGCTTTCATTATGTTGAGGTATGATCTCTCTATTCCCACTTTGCTGAGATTTTTTATGAAGAAATGGTGTTGGATTTTGTCAAATGCCTTTTCTGTATCAATTGATATGAATATGTGATTTTTGCCTCTCTGTTTGTTTATGTGATGTAACACATTTATTGATTTGTGGATATTGTATCACCCTTGAATCCCCAGAATAAAGCCCGCTTGGTCATGGTGCATGATCTTTCTAATGTAATGCTGGGTCCAATTTGCTAAAATTTTGTTGAGGACTTTAGCATCTATGTTCATCAAGGATATTGGCCTGTAGTTTTCTTTTTTTTGTGATGTATTTATCTGGTTTTGAAATTAGGGTGCTGTTGGTTTCATATAAAGAGCTTAGAAGTGTGCCTTCCTCTTAAATTTTTTGAAATAGCTGAGGAGGATAGGTTTTAATTCCTCTTTCAGTATTTGGAAGAACTCTTTTGCTTACTGGAAGATTTTTTTATCACTGCTTCAATTTCTTCAGTAATTATGGGCCTATTCAGGTTTTCTGATTCTTCCTGATTGAGTTTTGGGAGCTTGTATTTTTCTAAGAATAAGCCCATTTCAATTATGTTGTCCATTTTGTTGGAATAGAGTTGTTCATAGTATCCTATCTAATAAAGAGGGAATATGCTAATTGACCCTCATGCCGTTGCAAAGATGGCAATGCTTACAGCCAATAAGGAGGTAATATACTACCGTGTTTCCCCGAAAATAAGACATCCTCCGAAAATAAGACCTACTTACAGGTTTCCTTCTAAGTGAAATATAAGGTATCCCCCCGAAAATAAGGCCCCCCCCTAGGCTAAACATGAGAGATTTGGTCCACTGATTCTGAAAGAAATGGAGTCACAAGAAATTCACCAGGAAATTCAGGAATTTGATTATTATGATGATGTTCCAGAAGATGATGACATGATTGTCATTGAATAAATGAGTAAATTCTTGATACTGTAGGATTCACAGTTTGTCTGGTTTGACAACTACCGTACTACTGTACCTTATACAGGTAATAAATTTCCTTTATTTCCATTTAACAATAAATGTGTACCGTATTCTTCTTCATGGAAAAATAAGACACCCCCTGAAAATAAGACCTAGCGCATCTTTGGGAGCAAAAATTAATATAAGACACTGTCTTATTTTCAGGAAAACAGGGTAATTAAATGCCCCACCCTCAAAGATGGTGGCACCCACAGCCAATAAGGCGATAATATGCTAATTGATTGCCACACCCTCAAAGATGGCAGTACACACAGCCACAAGAGGGCAGCACCAGTCCCCTCAGCCCCGCCAGCGCAGCCCCGGGTGCAGGCAAGCCTGGAATGGCGGTAGTCCAGCCATCAAGGGCCACCCAAGGCTCAGGTAACCAGGGCTGGCCGAGGCTTGCGCTGCCAGCTGTGGCAGCAGCAGAGATGTGATGGGGGCATCACCTTCCCCTGATCACCGGGTTGCCTCTTGCCCCTGAGGGCTCCCATACTGTGAGAGGGGCCAGACCGGGCTAAGGGAACCCCCTTCCAGTGCATGAATTTTCATGTATCAGGCCTTGAGTTTTTTCATAATTCTTTGTATTTATGTGGAATTGGTTTTTACTTCACCTCTTTCGTTTTTTATTTATTTTTTTTTTTTTGCGGGGGGGGGGGGGGTGTTACTCTCTCTTTGCTTCTTGGTGAGCCTGACTAGAGGTTCATCAATCTTGTTTATACTTTTAAAGAACCAATTCTTGGTTTTGTTGATCTTTTGTATTTTTTTCTCCCTATGTTGTTTATTTCTGCTCTGATTTTTATTATTACCTTCCTAATGCTTCCACTGGGCATTTCTTGTTGCTCTCTTTCTAACTCTCTGAGTTGTAGGGTTAGATAATGCATTCCAGTTTCTCTTGTTTTCTGAGTTGGGCCTGTAGAGCTGTGAACTTCCCTCTCAAGACTGCTCTCACTGTGTCCCATAGGTTTGGGATTGTTGTGTTTTCATTGTCATTGTTACCAGGATGCTTTTTATTTCTTCTTTGATCTCTTTGGTAAGCCAATCATTGTTTCATAGCATGCTATTTAGTCTCCAAGTGTTTGATTTTTTATTGTTTTTATTGTAGTTGATTTCTACTTTTATGCCATTGCAACTAGAGAATATGCTTGATATGATTTCTGCCTTCTTGAATTTGAATAGGCTTTGCCTGTGTCTCAGTATGTGGTCAGTCTTTGAAAATGGCCCATGTGCACTTGAGAAGAAAGTATTTTCTGTGGCTTTGGGGTGAAATATTCTGAAGATGTCAGTTAATTCCATCTGACCTAGTGAGTCATTTAGGATTACTCTTTCCTTGCTGATTTTTTGTTTAGAGCATTTATCTAGTCGTGTCAATGGGATATTAAAGTACCCTACTATGATTGTATTATATTCCTGTCAGTATGTCCTTTGATATTTTACAGAAAGCTTTTTATGTATTTGTGTATTCCTGAATTGGGGATATATATATATTTACCAGGGTCATATCCTCTTGTTGTATTGATCCCTTTAGTATTATGAAGTGGCCTTCCTTATTTGTTATGGCCTTCACTTTGAGTTCTATTTTGTCAGATATATGTATTGCTACCCCAGCTTTGTTTTTATTTCCATTTGCCTGAAATAAATTTTTTCATCCCTTCACCAGAGTCCTTTGTTCTGAGATTGGTCTCTTGTAGACAGCAAATATATGGGTCATATTTTCTTATTTATTCAGCTACCCTATGTCTTTTGATTGAGGCATTGAAGCCATTTACATTTAAGCTTATTATTAATAGGTACTTGTTTGTCGCCATTTTTATTCTTTGCCCCCGTGTTCCTTCTTCCCATCCTATTCCTTTTTTTTACAGCAGTCCCTTTAGCATTTCTTGCATTGCTGATTTGGTGGTAATAAATTCCCTTAGTCCGTTTTTGTCTGTGAAGCTCCCGATTTCACCCTCAATTTTGATTGATAGCCTTGCTGTATTCTTGGATTCAGACCCTTCTTTTGCATGCCTTTGTATATTTCATTCCATTTCCTTCTGACCTGATGTGTTTCTGTTAATAAATCAGTCACTAGTCTAATGGGGGATCCTTTGTAGGTAACTTTCTGTCTCTCTCTGGCTGCTTTTAATATTCTTACTTTGTCATTGGAGTTTGCCAAATTAATTATTATGTGTCTTGGTGTTGGTCTTTTTCAGTTCATCTTGTTTGAGACCCAGAGAGTCTCAAACAAGATGAACGGAAAAGAAAAGAAAGAGAACCCTGGACAACGGTGTGGAGGCTGTGAGGTGTAGAAGGGTGGGTGGGTGGAGGTGGGAGAGGGTATGAGGGCGATAAAATGTGAAGGAAAAAATAAAGAAAGGTAAAATATGAATCCAATCTGATCATTTCACTGCAATTAGAACAAATTCCAAACATTTTGCTATAGTCTTTAAGTCTTGTCTTGTTTGGTGGTTGTTTTACTCATTCACTATGTCCCAGCCAAACATGACTTCTTTCTCTCCCTTGAGTTTCCCAAACCCAGTGGATTACTGGGAATATAAAAACCCAGAGCTTTTTTCCTTACTTTTCTGTCTGTCTGGATCTCTCCTCTCATATTTTTTGTTTAGTGTCTCCATTCATAGTTCACATAGTTCAAAGGTCATCTTCCGAGAGAGGGGTACCCTGACTCTCATGTTTTTCTTAAACTTTTTACTTCATAATTGTACTATCTTAATTTAATCTTAAATATTTGTTGACACGTTCTTAAATCTCATGTCACTAGAATATAATGCCCAGCAGTGCGTCCATCTGGTTTACTGCTGTGTTTTCACCATCTGTAATAGTACCTGGTTCATAATAGGTGCTCAGTAAACATTTGTTGAACTAATGAAGGTATAAGTGAAAGGTAATGGAGGCTAAAAGAATCACTGAACTTGTTACATGTATTACCAAGTACTAATAGTAACTACTTATTAAAGTATGAAATGTTTTATTTTTCAGGATTAATTGGAATTCTTCAAAATGTCAGGTAAGTTTTTGTGAATAAGTTTTAATATACTTTATTTTCAAATGTAAATTATGTGATTGCATCCCCTAAAAATTGTAGATTTTGCCCTGGCCTGTGTAGCTCACTGGATAGAGTGCTGGGCCTTGGATTAGACGGTTCCTGGTTTGATTCTGGTCAAAGGCACATACCTTGGCTGCAGGCTTGATCCTGGCTCCCAGTCAGGACCACGGAGGAAGAAACCAATTGATGTGTCTTTCTCCCCCTTTTCCGCCCACTTGCTCTAAAAAAATCAATAAAAATATCCTCAGGTGAGAATTAGAAAACAATAAAAAATTTTAAAATAAAAATGTATCCTCAGTGAGGATTTAAAAAATTTTTTGAAGTTTATTTCATTTTGAAGTGGGATTTTTATTATTATTAAGTATTTGGAGAGTATGTATACATACTTATTTATACATATGAGCATTCCTTTCTATCTTTAACAAAAAGAATTAAAAGGGATTTACATTGGCATACATGTGTAGAAATATCTCTAAAGTATGTGGGGAAATTTGGGTAAAGAACAAGGTAGGAAAGTAAGTCTGCAAAGAGAGGTAGTAATAAAAAGCCCATGACAGCAGCCTGCCCTCATAGAGGAGGGCTCCAAAGTGGCCCCCGCGTTATCAAGCAATGCAGGACACGATCCAAGGAGAGAAACACACTGCTTATGGGGTGTGTGTGTGTGTGTGTGTGTGTGTGTGTGTGTGTGTGTGTGTTTGGTTGTTTTTAGATAACAGTCAGTTAAGAGAGTCAGAACTTTTCCTTACAGTGAGTCTAAATAAAAGGTTCTCGGATTCAACAAAAGGAAAAGTGACTTCAATACTGCCTGAAGCAGTCAGGTGACAGGTCTCTCAGGGTAGAGTGTGACTCCCTGGAAAAGTAGACTAAACCACCTCTGTCACCGCTGGCTTTTAAACCACTTAGTATGCATCATGCTCTGTTTTGAATTTACTAAGTACTTATCCTGTTATGTTTTGAATTTACCTAAACAGCAATTTTCCAAAATGGATTCATGAAAACTCGGATCCTCTCTATATATGACTTTACATATTATGAAAAAGAATTTTCTTACAATGTGAAAGGAAGTTAATGTAGATAGGAATCAGCATCAGAACATGTAATAAATAAAATAAATAAAAGTAGCATGAAAGTTCCTTGCTTTGATTATAGCACAATGGTTTAATATTTTGTTTTTTAATCCATATAAGTCTGAAAATCTAGGAAATATTATAATAGATTGATATCTAATATACTTATGAATTATGTTTTTATTTGAAATATGAGTATATTTCTTACTGGTTATATGCAATGGTGCATGCCAACAAGAAAATACGAATGTATTCTATTATCATATTGTCATTTCCATTGCAAATAATGTGTCCTGTCTCTCCCCAAAGGTGTAGGCCCCACGGCCCCTGAGCAACCTACAGATGAAACGGGAAGCCAAGTAAAGTCAGCGGATCCAAGGCCTGCTGTCCCTCCAGGCTATGATTCCCATGTGGTACCAGGTACATTAAGTATTCAGAAAGGCTTTTTCCTCTCTCCAGACAATGATACTAATATTTAAGATAGATTTTTAAAATAATTATGGTAGTGGGTGGAGGTGGAAGCAGCCAAAAAGGGAATAAATGGTGGTGGAACAAATAAAATAAAAACAATAATACTGCCTAGCCAGCGAGGCTCTGTGAGTGAGCTTTGTCCTATGAACCAAGAGGACGCCGCTCAGTTCCTGGGTAGGGCATATGCCAAATTACAGGCTGGTGTGCATGAGGCACTGAACAATGATCTCTCTCAGCATTGATGTTTCTCTCTCTCTTCCTATCTGAAATCAATAAAAATTCATTCAAAAATATCCAAACATTCAAAGAATAACTAAAACCTACCCTCCTCAGACTATTCCAAAAAATTCAAGAGGAAGGTACACTTCCAAGCTCTTTATATGAAGCCAACATTACCCTAATCCAAAAACCAGTTAAAGATACTGCAAAGAAAGAGAATTGCAGACCAACATCCCTGATGAACATAGACGCTAAAATCCTTAACAAAATTCTAGCAAACCAGATCTGACATTACATTAGAAAGATCATTCACTATGGCCAAGTAGGTTTTATTCCATGGATGCAAGGCTGGTACAATATCTACAAATCAATAAATGCGGTACATCACACACAAAAATTGAGACACAAAAATGACATAATCATATCAATTACTGCAGAAAAGGCATTTGACAAAATAAAAACTCTCAGCAAGGTGTGAGTAGAAGGATTATACTTCAATATAATAAAAGCCATATACAACAAACCTACAGCCAATTATACTCAATGGGCAAAAACTAAAACCATTTCTTCTAAGAACAGGAACAAGACAGGGATGCCCATTTCACCACTCCTTTTCAACATAGTCCTCGAAGTGCTAGTCATAGCGATCAGACAAGAAGAAGAAATAAAAGGCTTCCAAATTGGAAAAGAAAGAAAACTGTCATTATTCTTGATGTGATATTATACATAGAAAACCCTAAAGATTCCACCAAAACGCTGTTAGACCTAATAAATGAATTTGGCAATGTTGCAGGATACAAAATTAACACCCAGAAATCTTTTTTATACACCAATAATGAGCTCCTAGAAAGAGCAACTTAAAAAAAAAATTCTATTTACCATTGCAACAAAAAAATTAAGATACCTTGGAATAAATTTAACCAAGGAGATAAAAGGCCTGTATTCAGGAAATTACAGGATACTGAAAAAAATATACAGAAGAAGACATAACAAATGGAAGAATATACCATGTTCATGAATTGGTAAAATCAACATTATTAAAATGTTCACACTACCAAAAGAATTTATATGTTTAATGCAACCCTGATTAAAATACCAATGGCATATTTCAAAGACCTAGAACAAACTCCCAAAATTCATCTGGAATAAAGAAAAACCCAAATAACTGTAGGAATCTTGAGAAGAACAAAGTTGGAAGGGTCACAATGCCAGATCTCTACAAAACCATTGTTCTCAAAACTGGATGGTACTGGCACAAGAACAGACATATAGACCAATGGAACAGAACAAATAACCCAGAAATGGACCCAAGCCACTATGCTCAATTATATTTGACAAAGGAGACAAGAGCATACAATGCAGTCAAGACAGTCTCTTTAATAAATGGTGCTGCAAAAATTGAACAGATACATGCAAAAAAGTGAACTAGGCCACCAACTTATATTATACCATACACAAAAATAAACTCAAAATAGATAAACTCAAAATGTAAAATGGGAAACCATAAAAATCTTAGGAAAATTTATAGGTAGCAAAATATCAGCCATATGTCCTTGTAGTATTTTCCCTGATTCAGATCCTAGGGCAATAAAAATATTAAGGAGACTACCTCAAAATAAATAGCTTTGCACATCAAAAGAAACCATCGGCAAAACAACAAGAAAGCCCACTGCATGGGAGAACATATTTGCCAATGCTATCACAGATAAGGGTATAATCTCCAAAATTTATAGGGTACTTATACAACTTAACTAAAGGAAAATAAACAATCCAATTAAAAAATGGGCAGAGGATCTAAATAGATACTCTCTGAAAGAGGGTATATAGAAGGCCAAGAGACATATGCAAACATGCTCAAAGTCACTAATCATCTGAGAAATGCAAATCAAAATAACAGAAACACCAGTTCATAGCAGCACAATTTACAATAGCTAACATTTAGAAATGATGTTGGGAAAACTGGACAGATCCATGTAAAAAAATGAAACTACCAACTTATTCCATTCACAAGCATAAACTCTAAATGAATAAAACAATTATAAATAGGAAATCATAAAAATCCTAGAAGAAACCATTGGCAAGCAAAATCTCAGACATGACTTGTACCAATATGCTTATGGTACAAAGGAAACTAAGGAGAAAAATAAAGAAAAGGGACTACATCAAAATAAAAAGCTTCTGCACAGCAAAATAGACCATCAACCAAACGAAAAGGGAGCCCGGTATGTAGGAGAACATATTTGGCAAAGATACATCTGATAAAGGGTTAATATCCAAATATATAAGGAACTCATGCAACTTAACAAAAGAAGACAAACAATCCAACTCTAAAAAATGGGCAGTTGGGGGCCAGCAGGGGGGGCAGCTAGGCATCAATCAGGCAGGCAGGCAGGCAGGCAGTGAGCAGTTAGGAGCCAGCAGTCCCAGACTGTGAGAGGGAGGTCCGACTGCTGGTTTAGGCCCAATTCCTGCAGTTGGACAACCCCCAAGGGGTCCCAGATTGAAGAGGGTGCAGGTTGTGCTGAGGGGTAACTTCCCCCCACCCCCACCCCCGTGCCGGAATTTCATGCACCAGGCCTCTTGTTTTTTATAAAAATAAAAGGAAGTAATTTTGCATTGAGTACGATTTTTTATATTAAAAATATTTTTCTAAGGAAATTTTTTCACCAGGATTATATTCAAACTAGAGGCCAATTGCACAAAATGTGTGCATGGGGATGTGTGTCCCTGAACTGGTCGTTGGCCCTTTTGCAATTTGGGAACCCTCGCTCCTAAATGCCTGCCTGCTCCCTCCTAACTGCCCATCTGCTCGCTCCTTACCGCTTGGCTCCCGCTCCTTATCGCCTATCGCCTACCTGCTTGCTCCTTACTGGCCGCCTGCTTGCTCCTTAGCTCTTGGCTTGCCACTCCTCAGGGCTGCTGCGAAGGCTGGAGAAGATCCTGCCGTCACTGCTGCACTCGCCAGCCCTGAGCTGGCCTCTGGCTGAGTGCTGCTCCCTCTGTGGGAGCGCACTGACCACCAGGGGGCAGCTCATGTGTTGAGCATCTGCTCCCTAGTGGTCAGTGCACATCATAGCAACCAGTCACTCTGGTTGTTCCCGTTGTTCTGGTCATCCTGCCATAACGACCACTAGACTTTTATATAGAGAGATTCATTTTAATGATTTAGAAAATGATAGGCAAGATTATAGCAATATTTATTGAAAATATACTTGTGTATATTTTAGAGATGGAGACCATTGAGTTAAGCTGTGAAAGGTTAGAAGAAACCTCAGTGCCCACAGGATAGTGGCAGAGAAATTGTATTGACCCTCGATGTGTGTTCTTTGGAGCTCAGGTTGCCTTCGCCCCTGCAGTGTTTTCTAGAAGCAGCAGGGCTTTCTTTTTCCCTTTTCCTCATGCGTGTGCATGTTATGTGGCTCTGACCCTGCTTTCCCCTTGCTGAACCTGTGGTTTTGACAATCTGAAATTATAATCTTACTGTATTTCATCATTCCTCTATAGTTTTATTTCACTGTTGATACATAATCAATCTTATTTTCACCAATCACTATCCTAGCATCTAGATTCCACTAGAACAGACGTTTCACCATTCCTAAGATGTAGACACTTATTATCAATCATATTCTGGTCATCTAGGAAAGTGTTTATTCTTCGGTATATCAAAAAACTGACATGAGTGTAGGAGACATCCTTCTAATAAAATGACTAGATAAGTTGAAATATATTATGATGCAGAGCATACAACTAATGAATTTTGTTATGAAATAGTAAGTTTTCTGTGACCACCCTTAGTGGCTGAACTATGTACTTTCTTATGGTAATACAGACTAGTCTCTGTGATTCACATTAAGGAACTTGAATACAATACTTAAAATATTTAACAACTCAATTACAAAATTTCCATTTGCATTATAGTATCAGATATGTATTCTTTCCCAAAATTATGTTGTTCCATGTATGTTTGAAATAATACTTAATAAAGAAACCTTGGTTTTATGTGGTCTATTTAAAGTGAAAAATGACATAATTTCTTGCAACAAAAAAAGGATAATATTAAAAATAACAAACAGCACAAATCCCACAAGGCAGTATTTCTCACACTGATATTGGTAGGACTTTTTTTTTCTCACAGTTACATTTTAACTTTTTTATGCTAAGTACACTTTATATCTACTGCCTTAGTAAATATCAGCATACAGAATGGCATTATTAACTACCAGAGGCCCGGACACCCCTTTCACAATCCAGGACCTCTGGCCGCTGGCTCCAACCGCCTGCCTGCCTGCCTGCTGCCTGATTGCCCCGAACCACTTCTGCCTGTCCACCTAATCGCCTCCTAACCGCTCACCTGCCAGCCTGATCATTCACAACTGCCCTCCACTGCTGGCCTGGTCACCCACAACTGCCCTCCACTGCTGACATGATCGCTTCCAACTGCCCTCCCTCCCCTGCCGACCTGATTGCCCACATCTGCCCTCCATTGCCGCAGCCGCCTCCACCCCACAAGGCAGTGGAGATGCCAGGACCGGCATCCTCCATGCCACACAGAGCCATGGGACCCATGCCAGCCGTGAGCCCAGCTCCTGGCTGAACAGCGCTCCCTGGTGGTCAGAGAGCATCACAGTGACTGGTCGTTCTGTCATCGGGCCAAAACTGGCTCTCCAACATTCCCTGTGGTGTCCTGGATTGTGAGAGGGCACAAGTGAGGCTGAGGGACCCTGCTGGTGCACGATCAGGGCTAGATAAGGATGCAGGAGGTTGGCCAGCCAAGGAGGGACCTCAGAGGGCTCCAGGGCATGTCTAGCCTGTCTTGCTCAGTCACGATTGGCTAGACACCAGCAGCAAGCTAACCTACCAGTTGGAGCGTCTGCCCCCTGGTGGTCAGTGCACATCATAGTGACTGGTCAACCAGTCGACTCTCTGCTCCCTTCTGGTCAGTGCATGTCATAGTGAGCGGTCTAGCATATCATTAGCATATTATACTTTGATTGGTTGAATGGACGACCAGACACTTATCATATTAGTCTTTTATTATATGGGATTATTTAGGATATTCCCAATGCTCTACTTTACATCCCCATGAATATTCTTTAACTACTAATTTGTACTTCTTAATTCCTTCACTTTGTTCATCTATCCCCCCAAATCACAAATTTCAGGAAATAGCACAATCCTAAATAACCAAAGGAGCAAAAAGATACCATAAGAGAAATTAGAAAAAACTTTGAGATGTAAAAACAAAAACACAATATACCAAAGTTTATGGGATTCAGCTAAAACAGAAACTAGAAGGAAATTTATAGCTATAAAAATCTAAAAAAAATAATAATTCTCAAGTAATCCAATTTTCCACCTTAGAAATAAACTAAATCCAAATTAAGTAGGGGGAAATCTTTTTGTTTTGTTTTTTTTTGTTAAGTATATTTTATTGATTTTTTACAGAGAGGAAGGGAGAGAGATAGAGAGCTAGAAACGTCAACCAGCTGCCTCTTGCACACCCCCTACTGGGGATGTGCCCACAACCAACGTACATGCCCCCGACCGGAATCGAACCCGGGACCTTTCAGTCCCCAAGCCGACGCTCTACCACTGAGCCAAACCGGTTTTGGCAGTAGGAGGAAATCTTAAACATTTGAGCAGAAGTCAAAGAAATAGAGGGGGAAAAAAGAATAGACAAACTCAACAAAACCAAAAATTGGTTATTTGAAGAGATCAACAACATTGAAAAAGCTTAAGCCAAACTGACCAAGAAAATAATACATAAATATTAAAATCAGGAATGAGGCAAGAGACAAAATGGCAGCTGAACAGATGGACATGTTCTGAGGCTAGTCCCAGAGCAGATAGAAGGAGCGCCTGAGAGTTGCTCGGGAAGTGTTAGTTGGCAAGCTAAGGGGTAACAGAATTCTAAGAGAAGGTAGAGGTCTGCTGGACAGGATTTCCTGACAAGCAGCCCGCACCACGGCGGAGACCTCTCCCGGAACCACGGGCTCAGAGGGAAAACTACTCCACCTTACAAAGAAAAGAGGATCTTCTCTGAGCCTGAAAAACCCACAGCAGAGGAGACCACCGAACAGCTGTGATGTCCCAATGGGTGCAAATACGTGGATTCAAGGGAGTTCTTCACTCACCCACGGAAAGGAGAAAGAGAACTACATAACCAGACATCCTGAAAAGAGAGACCATGGGGAGACAAGAAATAGCCCACTAGGGAGAAATAGCCCGCAAGGGAGGCAAATTGGGGGTGGTCAACTCTACAGGGGAGGACAGTTAGAGGTGACCAAGCTGGCAAAGGAGGGAAGTCGGAAGTTGGGGGAAAACAGGCTGGCAGGAGAGCAGTTAGAAATCAATCAGACTGGCTGTTGAGGCTGGCAGGCAGAAGCGGTTAGGGGCAATCAATCAGGAAGGCAGGCAGGTGAGCAGTTGGGAGCCAGCAGTCCTGGATTGTAAGAGGGATCCCAGATTGGAGAGGGTGCAGGCTGGGCTGAGGGACACCACCACCCCTCACCCAAGCCCCCCTCCCCCGCCCATGCACAAATTTCATGCACCAGGCCTTTAGTTATATCATAAAATTTAAGAGGACTGCTAGTAAGTAGCGCCTGAGAGTTGCTCTACAATACCGTTAGAACAGTGTTGATACAACAGTACACACTCGGAAGTTAGGAAATCTTGTTTCTAAGTGGATGTTATGTGACCCATAACATCTTCATGTAGAGTCATGCTAACTTCCAGTATATTGCAGTGTTGATGGTATGTAATACTTTCATCTGTTTTTTAACACAGGGCCGCCTGGAGCATACGTTCCTCCTCCGGCAGGCTACCCAGGAGGCGTGCCCATGGGATATTATGGTCCACAGCAGCCTGGTGCCTTCCCATTCGGCCAGCCGCCCAGTAGTACCCATCCTATCCAGTACCAGCCTGGCAGATATCCAGTCTCCAGTCAGTCCGCTCCAGTAATATGGATGCCAGGGCCGGCTCCCATGCCCGACTGCCCGCCTGGTCTGGAATACCTGACCCAGGTACTTCCCACACATCCAGTTTGTATCTCCTAATGAAGGCCGACTGGGATTCAAGACGACACAAAAGACTAAACCTGAGTGGGCAAAGTAACAGGCTCGTGACTTTACATTCCTGTAGATATCTAATTTGTGAGACAAGAGCGATGGTACTAATTTGGGAAATGTCAGAGGAGGTCAGAGAGTGTAAGCGTGTTTTTGGTGGGATGAGTATGGCTTTTCTGAAGGATATATGTTGAATTTTAAGACACTCATGATGCCCTGTCAAAGGCAGTTTAAAATACAGGAATATGAATATAAGAAAAACTAACCAAGATCCTAATCGGGGTGTCATTTGCAAAGAAGCAGAGTTCGCATGAAGGGAAGCAACATACTAGTAAAAAAGAACAAAACAGTAGACAGTGAATGAGTCCTGGGTGCCTTAGCCCACAGCTTTTCTCACCGCCCATGGCTTTCCTCCTCATGCCCCTTCCGCCAAAACACGTGCGGTGTGAATAAAAGCGGGGCCTTCCAAAGATACGGCTCAGGCCGGATTCCAAAGAGCCGCTTCTCAGGGCAGAGTGATTCGATTCCCTCCATTCCGGGGCTACCCGATGTCCAGCTCAGAAACGGCACTTCGCCCGGCTGCTGTACTCAATGTTATGTTTCAAAACCCACCTCAGAAACTAAAAAGATTGCTTAATGAAAATAAGATGAAGCTAGTTTTGGAAGTCCCTTAGAAACAACTGAGTTATGTTTTACTTTTAGAAAAAGGAAATGTTGAAATGCATTACAAGTAAGGAAATTGCCTATTCAATACGTGTCTTCCCATATAGTCATCCAAATACTCCTTTAAGTTTATATGTTTTCTTTTCAATTTTATATAATGAGAAAAACCTTGATAATCCTCTGCATTGAAACCATGGTTACAGTGTAATATCATTGATTCTTGCAAGTCAGTAGAGTTGAATCAGGAAAATTTGGATTTTACATGAGCCAAAATTTTTATTAAATTGTTGTTTTGGCAAAATAATGACAAAATGCAAAGCCAGTCATTCAGGTAAAATGGTAGATTAAACTACCTTTGTATTATTTTAGAAGCTTATAAAATGTGTATAAGTTACTCAATTTTGGAAAGTCTTTTCTTATACAAGATAATGAACTCAAATTGTCCTTGGAAATCATAGATTTGGAGTCATTTCTCTTTTGAAAATGTATAGCTTCAATATTGTTCACTTAAATATATATAAAAACAAAATAAAACAGTTTCTCCAGCCTAAGTGCCTATCAACAGAGGAGTGGATTGGAAAACTGTGGTACATCTACTCAATGGAATACTACACTGTTGTGAAAAAGAAGAAATTCTTACCATTTGCAGCAGCATGGATGGAATTTGAGAGCATTTTGCTGAGCAAAATAAGCCAGTCAGAGAAAGATAAATATCACATGATATCACTCATTTGTGGAATATACTAAACAACATAAACTGATGAACAAAAATAGAACCAGAGTCATAGAAGCATTGAACAGACTGTCCAACCTATGAGGGAAGGTGGGGGTTGAGGGGGTAAAAGATCAACCAAAGGACTTGTATGCATGCATGTGAGCATGACCAATGGACACAGACAGTAGGGGGTGAGAGCCTGGGCTGGGTGAGGGAGTGGCCGGGGAGAAGGCAATGGGGGGAGTGGGGGGAAGGAGACTCATATAATACTTTAAACAAGGAAGACTTTAAATTTAAAAAAACTTTTTCTTCTATTACTCTGACTAATGTTATATAACATATTTGATGAGTTCTGTTTCTCCTTTCAGGAATATTTTGAGTAAAAAGAGAAAGACACAAAACAGGTTTGGAGCCAGACAAACCTGGAGTTTAATTCTAGCTCTGCTCCCCCTTGACTGGGTTTGCAATGTGCCTAATGTTTGGCACCCGGGGCCCACCCAGTCGATGGCAGCTGTGGGTTTATTAGGTCAAATGCCTTGTATGTGAGCAGAAGAAAGACACAGGGCCCTTCATCTTCCTGTTTGTTTGTATTGTGTTTGTCCCATCATCTTCTTTATCATTTTATTTATCCTACCCTTTCTGCCATCTCACATGAATCTTTATCAGGACTGTCGAGATTGTGGCATTTAAAGTAGCAGGATTGTGTTATTCCTAGAGCATGGCGTAGCCCATGACTCTGCCGGTTTGTTAGAGAGCTGTTTCTTAACAGCCATACTATCTTACTGGGCACCCTTCTTCCTCATTAATGGATGCCCTGTCCTCAGAAAATTTTGTTCAACAGTGGATGCTTTTATCACAGAGTGAATATTTTTATTTAATCCTAGATTTTAACTTTCTAGTTTTTTTGTTGTTGTTTTTACAGAGAGGAAGCGAGAGGGATAGAGAGTTAAAAAACACCAATGAGAGAGAAACATTGATCAGCTGCCTCCTGCACACCCCCTACTGGTGTGCCCTTCACCAGAATCGAATGTGGGACCCTGCAGGCTGATGCTCTATCCACTGAGCCAAACCTAGGGCAACTTTCTAGATTTTTAAAGGGGCAATCAACTGCCTTAGTGGCCACTTTAGATATTTTTAAAACACGTTTAAGCCCCTCACCTGATTTTGTTTTCATACAAGAAAAGTTCTGAATGAAGGAAGGATTGTGTTCTCTCTCTACCAGTGGTTCCCAATGTGGGGCACACACCCCACAGGGGAGCAATTGGATTTTTAAGGGGGGCAATATGAGAATGAATTAATAGTGAATTTTTCATATTTATGGTTCTAGGGGCCTCATATACAACATATAAATATATATTGTGACATTTATACATTTCAGTTCTCATGTTCTGAAACTTTATTGGTAATTTTTCATATCACTTCATATTAATTTTTTAACAGTTTCTTAGTGATTTCTTCCTTAATACTTCAGCTGTCCTTTTGTTTTATTTTTCTCTTTCATGGATGCCATGTTCTTTGGAAGCTTGTGTAGACCAAGTGAATGGCCTTTTAGGCTTCCTCCCCATGGATAGGAGCTCACTGTTTGAAATATACTTCCCAGGGGGCATCAGGGCTTTAGGGAACCACTGCTCTGTCCCCTCCATAAACAATCACCACAAAACACTAATGTCAAATTATCATTTTGTTTATTAATCACATTTGTGTGTTTTTCATTAGTTACTGTATTCAACAAGTATTCGGTGAAATGTAGCATTTCAGGCAGTGTTCTGGACTCAGGGATTTGGGATGGTCTAATTATCTATATTATCTAAAACTGTACAGATATAATCAGTCTGTCCTCAAGTTTTTTCTCTTCTGCTAGCATGTCCTCAAGTATGACTGAGAATGGGCCATGTAACTGTGTCTCTTTAGAGGGATTCCTGAGTGAAATTAGACATTTACTTAATTGCATTCCCAACCTCCCGTTTGAAGGGATCCCATCCCAGAAAGTCTCCTCTTCTTTGCCCTCCTCCTTCCATTCACGTCCTCCTGCCCTCTCAGACCTCCCAGAATTAACATGTGCGCCCAGGGACGGTCTTAGCATTTAACAGCTCAAGTAAGTGGGAATCAGCACGGTAACCTCCCAGAAGAACCTGGGAGATGTTATAAAATTGGACACCACCCTGGCTGGTTCACTCTTCCCAAGCCACTGAGAAACTGTTTCTCTGCGGCTGGTCCTTGTCCGAAGGTCCTGACGCTCCTGCCCGCCCCTCGTCTGAGTGGTGTGCTGGAGAGACCAGAGAGGAACTGAGCTGGGCAGCCTGGGGCAGCTCAGCTGCTTCTGATGCTGTCACTGGTGGGAGCTGGCTTTCCGATACTGTAGACAAGTGTACCAGTCTCATGGTAGAACTGGGGAAAAGTGCTTTTCCTATCTCTGCAGCTCTAGTAACCAGCTGATTCCACTTGGTCAAAATGTTTTTATTCCATTCTATTTCAAAAATATATTTTGGTATCAATTGATCTATTTTAATACTTAGCAGTTTAATTTCTAATGCTGATTTGATTTAATCCTGTTATTTCTAGTTCTTCTAATTGCTTTTTTTATCCCAACAGTTGGACAACATACATGTTTTTCAGCATTTTGAACCTCTGGAATGTATGTATCATTAATTCGGTAGCGATTGGCAATATTTGAACCAGGTCAAAATGCCCATTATCCAATGTCTATTTCCTTTTTTTATATTGACCACTTTTTAGTGTAATGGAAGTATTAGATAATTTTATAGATTTATAGATCGTATGTAAGTTTTAGACTTTGCAAAGGTTTACATTTTATCTGGACAACTGTCCTACTGTTACCCACCCAAGCTCCGCCACGTTAACTTCTCATGGATGAGAAAAAGAAGGAGCCAGAATCTAAGTCAGTCAGTCAGGGGCTCATAGTTAGCTAGTCAGAGGCAGAGCTGCAAATCTGTTGAGTTCTAGCCCTGTGTCTTACTCACTTATATGGTTGTTAATTATTTTCTGAATTCAAGTACTCTAGGAATATTGTTTCAATCTTTGCTCATATGGAAAAGGTTTAAACATCATTTTACACTGAACTTCTTAAAATAAGTGTTTCAAATTTTTAAAATTACTAAAATACAAAGTGTACAAGTTATTTTAACATTCTGATCAATTATACATATTTTACCTGAAATTTTATCAAAGCTATTCTGCTTTAAGCCCCTAAAAGGACTTATATTCTATTAAAATATAGTTGACATGTAATATTATATTAGTTCCAGTTGTACAACATAGTGATTCCTCATTTATATTTCTTATAATGTGATCACCAGAATAAATCTAGTTATCGTCTGTCACCCTACAAAGCTATCAGGATATTATTGACTATTTCCTATACTGTATGTTACATCCCTATAACTCTTTTTGTTTTTAATAATTGTAGGTTTATATCTCTTATTCCCCTTTTTGAGACCCACTTTAACTATTTCTAATGTAAGACAGTTTCCTCGTTTTATTTTTCAGTGATAACACGTTTTGAAATTAATAACAAATACGATGTTAAAAACAACCTGGGCCAGATGGTGTACTTTGTAACTGAAGACACAGATGACTTCACCAGGAATGCTTACCGGACACTAAGGCCCTTTGTCCTCCGGGTCACGGACTCCATGGGTCGGGAAATCATGACAATGCAGAGACCCTTCAGATGCACCTGCTGTTGCTTCTGTTGTCCCTCCACCAGGCAAGAGGTTAGAGAATGGAAGTCTGATCCATTATTTCTTTCTGATCCAGCTATTCACTCATGGCTGTGCTCTTTCTAAAACTGCATGGGGCGGGGGTCACTGGCCCTGCCAGTCAGAATGCAGCAGTACAGTGAGAAGGGAGCAAGCCAAATTGCCTCACCTCAGGCAAATAACCCAGGGCTTTTTCTGTGGATTTATGCTCTTTGGTGCTAATGGGTGGGTCAAGCAAAATTATTTATTCAGCAACCACAATTCTATGAGCTGTGTCTACTGAATTTGAAGTTTACCTGTCACCTCAAACAGGAGTCACACATTTACCTAAATGTTTCCAGATAAAGGTATGCTAAATGTAAACATATCGCTGGTCCTATATGTTACGCCGTGAAGTGTAACGACCAACCTTGTAATGACCAGATCACGGACCGGCAGAAGGGTAGGGCAGCGAGCTACAAGTGGGCAAACTGCTTTTGTTTAGTAAGCATTGTGTTGTTTTTTTGCGTGTGTTGTGTTTTTTCTGTGTGTGTATTTGTGAGTTGGGCTTTGTAAATCAAAGCCTATAGGGGCAGCCTTTCAAGATTGTAGTTATCCAGGATGGAGCAAAAACAATCAGTATTATCGCCTTAGTCCGGCGTGTGGTATTTTTGTCCCACTGCATTATCTACCTTTTTCTCATTTCTCCAGTTTGAGTGTGTGTGTGTGTGTTTTATCAGCTGTGTAGATTCCTGCATCCACCACCACAATTCAAATACGAAAGTTTATTGCCATAAAAACTCTTCATAACCACACCTCCCTCCCTCTCTTCTCTTCATTTCTAACCCAGCACCGCTAATCTGTTCTCCATCCATTTCTATAACTGTCACTTTTAGAATGTCATAGAAATAGATTCATACAATATGGAACCTTTTAGGACTGGCTTTTTTCAACATAATTTACATTGAGGTTCATACAAGTTGTGACATGTACCAATAGTTCATTCCTTTTTATGGTTGAATGATATGGATTCTTATGAAATTAATTTATTCGTATACAATTTTTTTTTTATCTCAAGACTAAACTTATATGAGAGCTCACTCCCAGGAAGCGGCCACATCTGTATGTTTGTATATGTATATGTGATTTTATATATATGAACAACAATATCTTGATTTGACAATTCATGGAGGTGTGCAGTCCTGCCTTGTGGTGAAATGCAGGAAAGTGTATAAAACACCAGGAAAACCACCAGAACATTTCCTTTGGTCTTTTAACAGATAATTTAATTTTGTGAATCTTGATATTATTAAATATGAAGATCTTGGTTCTTCCCAAAGGAATACTGTCAAGATAATTAGCTGGAAGAGAGTATTGGACAACATTTATTAAAACTCTTTTTAAACCGGTTTTATATCCCCATACCACATTCTGTTGCTTTCCCAGCATACAGTGTCCAGAATGCTTCTTTTCTGGCTTGTTTCTTGTATCATTGTTATGTCTGACATGAAAAGCTAAGAGGCTGGTTTGTTGGTGTTTCTGTGTATTCTGCCATGAGATGTAAGACACCTGGATAAAACACATGGTCTTTGTAGAAGCACATACAGCAGCATGTGTGTTAGCATGTCTATGCAGGTCCCCTTATCCCCGAGTCTACGGTTGACTCGGAGCAGCCCAGAGAGACGCTGGGTGCACAGCGGAGGACACCGAGCTGGGAGAACTGGCCATCACAGCCGGTAACTTCGTCTCAGGGGGAACATGACCCCGATTCTCAAGGCTGTTCATTGAAATACAAGCCTGAGAAACAGCCAGGTCAAGAGGAAGCCAGTTTCGGAGTGAAAATTCCCAGTCCCCACAGGGCACATCGGGGTGTGTGTGTGTGTGTGTGTGTGTGTGTGTGTGTGTGTGTGTGTGTAACTCCCTCCCTCTGCCGGCCTCACTTGCAGCTGGAGGTGCAGTGCCCGCCCGGCCGCACCCTGGGCTTCGTCAGGGACCACTGGAACATGTGCCAGGTGGCGTACAGCATCCAAAACGAGAAGAAGGAAAAAGTGCTGAGCATCCGTGGGCCGTGCTCCACCTGTGGCTGCGGCTCGGACTCTGTGTTTCAGGTAAACAAATGCAAAAAGAATGTTTCTTCGTTTTTCCTGCGTACTGACAGATTTAAGAATGATCTGGTTTAGATCGTTTTTCCTGTGAATCAGCACATTCGTATGAGGCGTTAACTGGTTGACATTATGTGACTTTCAGATTATTGTTAATGGGTTGCTTAATGTTTTCTAAAATGTAAGATTTTTTTAAAAGTTATTTTAGTGTTTTGTAAAGATAAGTGAAACCATTAAAACATTAGTCCTGCCGAAACCGGTTTGGCTCAGTGGTAGAGCGTCGGTCTGCGGACTGAAGGGTCCCAGGTTCAATTTCTGTCAAGGGCATGTACCTTGGTTGCGGGCACATCCCCAGTGGGGGGTGTGCAGGAGGCAGCTAGTCGATGTTTCTCTCTCATCGACATTTCTAGCTCTCTATCCCTCTCTCCTCCTCTCTGTAAAAAATCAATAAAAAATAATAATAAAAAAATTTTTAATGTAGTAAAAGGTAGGGGAAAAAAAAACAAACAAATACATTAGTCCTGAGAGTAAGTAGCCTGACATACATCTATTTTATTCTTGGTTGTATTTAACTGTTTCTTACCAAAGATTTCCAGGACCAGAAAGTATGTCCTGAGGAATGAGAGTGCCGCCTCCTCACACACCCTGTGGCCCGAGGCTGTGCACGTTGCTTATTTGCAGGATGGAAGCCTGTGTCCTCAGGAGACAGGACAGTGCTGGTCACATGATGAAACTCACAGCGACAACATTTTCTCAGGAAAAAGAAAAACCCTTTATTTTCCCTTTGATCTCTATGGATACAAAACGATCGCTTATAATCCTATAAATCTGACAAAGGAGGTGCCTAGAAATGTTTCCCGAGCTGCTTGGAATTCTTTCCGAATGCCTTGTAAGTCAGCTAGGCTCCTCCTCTAAAATTGCTCTTTCTAGTATCGCCCACGATCAGTTTATCTTACCATGTCACCAAGCAGTGCTTATCTTTAAAAGGCCTTGTGAAGAAATAGAAACACAGATAAGCCAGGTTTCAGGGCAGGAGTGTGGGATCATTCTGGTCACCGGAAGTCAGTGTCTGGCTGTCCTCCCTCTATAAGCGCTCCCCTCATAGAGCTGGAGTCCCTTGGGCCCTGGCATAATTAAGAAGGTGGGTTTGTGAGGCACACAGAAGTTTGAGTGATTGTATGGAGCTTGTGAAGTGCACAGAACCAGGCCTCACGTTTCCCTGGACTAAGAGAAATTCCCTTCTAATCCCCATTCCCACCCTCTGTGCCATGGAGGACTTCAAAATCAGCCCAGGTCAGGCCTCTCGTTGGAGGAGGAGGGCGGAGCGCTGGCCTGAGCAGTGTGAGGTGCAGTGTTGGTTACCAGAGTCCCTTCTCATCCCCCAGGTCAGAGCCATCGACGGCGTCTCCCAGGCCGGCAGCGTCGTCAGGAAGTGGCACGGCCTGATGTCGGCCATGGGCCAGGCGGACCACTATGACATCCACTTCCCGCTGGACCTGGACGTGAAGATGAAGGCCATGATCTTCGGAGCTTGCTTCCTCATCGTAAGCCTTTTGCTTTCGAGTTGCCTTGAGAGAATTATTCTTCCTGATAAGAAGCAGGTAGCAGAAAGGCAATAGCTTTGCAATTAGGCCAAGTTCTGTCCCTATCCCTTACTAGTTACATGATTTGTAAAGTGTTCGGCACTGGCAAGCCTCAGCCTCCTCGTCTGTCAACTAGAGACAAAAATACTGATATTTTCAAGGTTGTAAATGTCAGTTATCATAGGAATAAAGGGGCGAGAGTGCTTAGAAGGCATTAGGCATCCAATGGGATCATCATGGCAGGTCATTGATTATCTTTACTACTCAGAAAAGCCTGCCTGCCCTGGCTGGTGTGGCTCGGTGGATAGAGTGTCCGCCTGGGGACTAAAGGGTCCCAGGTTCAATTCTGGTCAAGGGCACATGCCCAGGTTGCAGGCTCGATCCCTAGTATGGGGTGTGCAGGAGGCAACTAATCAGTGATTCTCTCTCATCATTGGTATTTCTATCTCTCTCCCTCTCCCTCCCTCACTGAAATCAATACATATATTCGGATGCATGAAATTCATCCAAGACTAGGCCTTCCTTCCCCCGGCTGCCAGCACCAGCTTCCCTCTGGCACCCGGAACCTGGGCTCCCCTCGCAGCCCCAACTTCATCCGGCACGTCGTGCGGAAGGATGCTTTTATTATTACAAATAGATATTTTTTAAAGCCTATCCTGTGACTTCTTAACGAAATAAAATAGCTTCAAAGCTGATGTCCCTATCCTCTGCCTCACTGTCTCTGCCAGTGAACTGCTAGGTGTTACACTATCCTTAGATTTATTAGGTGCCATCCCCTTGCTGTATTTCTGACTAATTAGTGGTTAATAGTTATAAGTAAAGCATAGAAATAAAATTAATAATATTTACCCAAAAATCTCACTAATATATTGCAATTGGTATATTTAGTATATATAATCAATATATTTAATATTGATTACTAAGTTTTTCTTCCTTTAACAATAAAAATTTAATTAGTATCCCAAATGGAGAACGTATTGGCTACCAACAGGTACAAGTATGTAATTGCTGCTCTTTATATTAAGTCCTCTTTATAAAGATTTATCAGACTTCTTAACTGGTCCGTGAGGATTTCCAGGTAAAGTATAAAGGATAATATTTTATGCATTACACCAAATTATTTATGTATTTCTATATCTAATTCTCTCCCTCTCTCTCTCTCTTTTTCCAACTTCAGGACTTCATGTATTATGAAAGATCACCACAGCAAGATAGAAGAACAAGATAGAAGAACACAGAAAATCAGCATTATGGTTTTAAAAAGTTAGAAAAGTTGTACTGGGCTTACAGTCAACCCTGAATTATTTGCTTTTGCAGATTACTTTTATTTCACGTTAGCGCCGACAGGCATTCTGAGGGTAAGAACACAGTCTAATTGCATTTCAGTTGAGAATCTGTCTCGTCGTCTGCATGGTGTACTAGGAGTTCAATGTAGATATGATGAGCTGAACAACACTTCAGGATAAGAGAGGGGAATGTGAGTCCCAGAGTTCTCACACTGATAGGTAATGGTCATCAACACAATCCCTCACCAACGACAAATTTGAGTGGAGGTGAAAAGAACGATATTCTTCATCTTTAAAAAAAAAAAAAAAAGGAGGGGGGGGGGGAAGGCAGGCAGAAGTATTCTGTTATTGTATTATACAAGGAACATTTTCCCTGTGCACGTGTATCAGTGCCTCATCTTGCAAAATTTATGAAAGTTTCAATGGAAAACTTGATTTTATTATCAAATGTTTTTTATCTTAAGCTTTATGTTTTCCATGCCTGTCCCCTTGTTCATGGACAGCCAGGAACTGCCTTATATCTGAAGACAAGGTCAGACTCTCAGGGGAAAGGTGACCACAGCTACTGTTAGAGACATCAGTGCCCTGGTCAGAAGATTGTATTTAATACATTTAACCTCTTTTGGTCACAGATGCCTTATATGTAAAATATTCTCAGCCAAATCTCTCAGATTGCCTGGTGAACCTCTGCATCTCCCTCGATGTAAGGCCGAGGAGATAACTTTTTCTTTCAAGAAGATCCTGATAAAAAACGGCAGTTTGAGTGACAGGAGCTAGAGTTTTGTTTTCAAATTTTAAAATGTGACGGTCTGAGTAGCACTTTGTAAAAGCAAGAACTATAAATTTTGACACTGCTTCTTTGCTGCTTTTTAAGTGATAGATAAATTTATATCTATGCAAAGATGATAAAACAATAAACTTTCTATAGATTATATAGGATAAGATTATATAGGATACAGATTATATAAGATCAATGTAGTTAATGTATAAATTGTACATGTTTGTATTAACTAACAACATGCTATGTTAATGACTACACTGTGATAAATCACTTGCTTTTACTGCACTTTAGCAGCCTGTCTGACATGTACTGTGTGTCTGTCTAACACAGCCAGTACATAGAATGGGATGTGTTCTTCTGCTTCTTATTAAAAAATAATAATAATAATCTGAGTGCTCTTAGGTTTAATTATTCTGATAATAGGGCCTTTACCCACAATTCTTATTGAAGTAAAAGAAAGCTGCCTAAGTTTTTAATTATATTCATCTTTTCATGGCAAAAATTGTCTACTCAGTTTCTTGTAATGTTCATTTTTAAGCATGACTGCTAGCTTTTAAAAAAATGGAAAAACTGCTGTTTTTAAAATACTAATTACCTTGTATAATATTTGAAAATGCAGTTGTACTCTTACTCATATATATTGATATATATTGTTCCTTATAATAATGTCTAACATTTTCTATATAAAATAAAATCATATTCAGAAAATTTATATAAACTTTTCATTTTTACTTGCCTATATGCCATTTCAGGACCTGCTATATAATACTAAAAAAAGTTATTTTTACCATATGACATTTTAACCTTTTGTTCTAAGTTGTTGTGGTATTAACTTGTATCTTACAGTTACCATGATTCCTTTTTCTTTAAGAAAGAATGTCATATTTTATACTCCAGTTCATATTATTTCTATCTTCCTTAATGATACTTTATTGTGTAAAATAGGTCAGATTAATTTTGAAAAGTATTCTCTGAAATGTGTGTTTTCTTCACATTGTTTTTGATTTTTAAATAAATATAACCTATACTAAAAAAGGGTAATATGCTAATTAGACCAGGAGACCTTCCAGAAATCCTTTGGACAAAGCCAGGGTGGCGGGGCTGAGGCAGAGGCAGTTTTAGGGGTGATCAGACCAGGAGGGGAGGACAGTGGGGGTGATCAGGATGGCATAGGGGCAGTTGGGGATAAGCAGGCAAGCAGAGGTGGCAGTTAGGGGCAAGCAGGCTGGCAGTGGGCATTTGGGAGTTAGCAGGCCTGAAGTGGGGGCAGTTGGGAGGCTGGCATGGGGGACAGTTGGGAGTGATCGGGCCAGTGTGGGGGGATGCAGTTGGGGGTGAGCAGTCTGGCAGGAGAGATAGTTGGGGGTGACCAGTCCAGTGGAGGGGCAGTTGGGGAAAGAATGCTGGCATTTAGGGGTAATCAGGCTGCAAGGTGGGCGCAGTTGGGGGCGATCAGGCCAGCAGGCAGAGCAGTTAGAAGCCACTGGTCCCGGATTGTGAGAGGGATGTTTGACTGCCGGTTGTGGAATCAGGCCTAAACCCACAGTCAGACATCCCCAAAAGGTCCCAGATTGGAGAGGGTATAGGCCAGGCTGAGGGACACACCCTCCCGTGCACAAATTTCGTGCACCGGGCCACTAGTCCGGTAGCTTATAATAAAATACTGTTTTATTTTTGGACTTGTGATTAAGTCTTTGCTAGAAACTGAATGTTTATATTCCCTCCAAAATTTATGAATTAGTTACCCCAATGTGATGGTGTTTGGAGGCAGGCCAGCACCTTGATCTTGGGCTGACTAGCCTCCGAACCTTGAGAAATGGAAGTTTGTTGTTTAGGCCACCAGTCTGTAGTAGTTTTGTAACAGCAGCCCAATTGGATTAAAATAGTAATTTTGTACTGAGAAGGAAGGTGCTGCTATAAAAAATACCCACAGAATGATACGAGGTAGAAAGTTTTATTTGCATGGAATTATATCCCTTGATTTTCAAAGTCCCATTTCCTATCAGATCTGGAAAATATGCAGCTGGGGATTCAGCAGAGCTAAAAGCAAAGCCAGTGTCCAGTGTTTCTAGGGTGGAGCTGAGTCCAGCAGGGTATCAAACTAACTTTAGTTCGTCAGCCTCTTGTGTGTGGGGTCCACAGGGCTGTGGGCCTGTGGGCGAATGCACGGGAGCACACCACCTACAGCACGAGGGCCAAGAGAGACCTTCCTTTCTTAGGAGCTTGTGTATCTCAGATTTCCCATCCTTGCAGTGGCCAAGCCTGTTCTGGCCAATGACCTGCTCCCACGTGTGACTGCCAAGTAATCACCTTCCCTTCATCGTTTAGAACTTATTGGGCATGCACCTCCTCTTTCTTTGTCCAGTCCCTGCTCCTGGGACCTGTGGCAAACAGACCTGTAGTGTCAAACGCTTCCCGGCACAAATGGCATGCCCATATTATCTGGCCTTTCCTTTGCTCCTTTTCTGTTATTTAATTAATAACTGAACTCATTACAATGGTGTCAGTTTTACCCTCCTCTCCACTATTTTCCCTTATCAATAATTACTTTATTGAGCACCCATTAATTCATCGCTGAACTATTTCTGAAGACAGAGGGAAATGCAAAGGTAAAAAATACATAGCTGCTATTCTCAGGGATTCTCAGACTAACGAATGAGACAGACTTTAAAATAAACAAAAACACATCTTTGAGGACCACAGTGGACGTGTGTAGTCAATGGAATGTGGTAAGACAGTAGAGGCACCATCTCATGTGCTGTAGAATGTATTTCTGTCCTATTTAATCACACAGTCTAGGCCCAGGCAAACCTCCATGCACTACTAAAGGGGAATAAGATGAATTTCTCAGTCTTATCTGAAAGTTAAATGCATAGTAAATACAATTGGAGGGTCAATTTAGCAAAATTTTATCAAGCCAAGTTGGGATAGTAAACATAGAACCCAGGAGAGTGGCACATGAACAGTGCCCAACCAACATTTGTGGAATGAATGTCAAAATTTCTATGTGTATGACATTGCACTAAGTGTTCAAGAAGACAAATAAAAAGGTATCCTCTATCCCTCAGTAAGGCTAAAGCAAGTAAGTATGTAATTTCAGCACAAAACTAAAGAATTAGTGCATAAAATAAAAATTATTTTGTTTCCAATGTATATTAACTCCCCCAACTGCATCATGAGATAACTATCAGTACCATTTTTCAAAGGATATAACAACAAAATAGGTCCAGAGCCATAGATGCATGGAACAAACTGACATCCCAGATCCAGAGCTAGAGAAGCATGGAACAGACCATCAAACCTCAGAGGGAAGGCATGGGCGGTGTGGGAATGGGGTGTGCATGCATATAAGCATAATCGATGGACACAGACAATGGGGGTGCGGGCTGAGCTGGGAGATGGGAGAGGATTTGGAGGGGGCAAAAGGAGATATATGTAATATTTTCAACAGGAAGGAAGGAAGGAAGGAAGGAAGGAAGGAAGGAAGGAAGGAAGGAAGGAAGGAAGGAAGGAAGGAAGGAAGGAAGGAAGAAAGGAAGGGAGGAAGGAAAGAAGGAAGGGAAAAACTTGGAGATTAAACTTGGGGGGGAGGAAAGTGTGGTGAAGGCCTGAGGCAAAGCAGGGCTGGAAGAGAGGGACAAGGGGGGTGGAGGACATCTTTACATAATATTGTCAATAATGAAATTAAAAAGCAGTAACAGTAAGAAGCAGATGGGTGCCAAGGAATCTTTTCCTCTTGTAATTGTGATGAAGAAAAAGATAAAGGGTGAGAAGTAGGAAAGTTCTTGGAAGAGGAAGTATAGAACAGAGCTTCCCAGTCTCATGGTTTCACTTGGAACCTGGTCAGGCTGCCTACTGTCCCAACCCCGTGTTCCCAGTTGTTCCGGATGAGTTTTTGGTGCGTGTGCAATGGTATGTGTGGTGGAGGTGGGGCAGGTGCTATTGCTGCGGTGATGGTGGTGGCTCTGCACGTAATATCTAAACAAAAAGTAAATAGCAAATTCTAAAAACGTTCAGTAATTAACCTAATGGATGCCCATTTGATTTTCTTGTAATTATTAGTTTTGCTGCTTCTCAGCAAAGGAGCCAGTCATATGAAATCATAAATTTTGAGATGTGTAGTTGCTAAGTTTGTCTCAAGAGTTCATTCCATGCCAGACG